TGCGGCCGCTCGCGGTCCACCTGCTGCAGTAGCAGCGTCAGCTCGCGCTCGAACACCTCCAGCTCCCACTGGGCCAGCAGGTGCTCGCGCCGCCGCAGCTGCTCCGCCTGCGACCGCTGCTCGCGCGCCGCGCGCGTCAGCTCCTCCTCGCGGCTCAGTAGTTCCTGGCCCGGGACGGTGAAGGCGATGCAGTCAGCCTGGCACCAGACCCTGGCGCCCACGCCCCAACTCTCCGTCCCATGGGGACCGGGGGAGACACTCCCTTCCCACCCCGGGTCCCCGGCGCCTCGCACACCTTTTCCTTGGCTCGCAGCTCGTCGAAGAGGCCCTGGATTTCGCGCTTCCAGCCTTCCTGCATGGAGTGGAAGGAGTCCCGCGGCATTTCCCGCAAGACCTGAGCCTCGAGCGCCTCCAGCTGCTGCAGGATGGAGGCGAAGTCGGGTCTGCGGTGGGGGTCCTGCGCCCAGCAGTCTAGGGGCATGGCGTGGAGGGGGGCACAGAATAAGAGGTGGGGTCTGAGGGTGGGCGTGTCCTGGGCCAGGGAGCTCTGCCCCACCCCCTCCTTTCCCATTCCCGACGCCCTTTCCTCTTACCGGCCATGAGCTGTGCAAATGGCTCTGGGCAGGTGGACGGGATGGGCAGTGTGAGCTTGTTAACAGCTACGCCATAGGCCACGGCAAGACAGTCTATGCCACGGTAGGGCACCTCCCCGGTCAGCAGTTCCCACAGCAGCACCCCAAAGCTGTGGGTGAGACAAAGGGTCTGTGTCCCCTCCCCTGCCCACTGGCCTGCAAGCCACCAGGCACTAAATGGCTCGGGTCTTTCCCCCTGGGCTTGGCCTGTCTGTCCAGCTTTGGACTTCGCCACCTTTACCCTCTGCAGCCCCACAGCAGACCCTGTCCAGCCCCCGCCAAGGCCACACCTCCAGACATCGCTGCCCTTAGAGAAGGTGGAGGCCTTGATAACCTCGGGAGCCATCCAGGCATAGGTGCCCGCAGCACTCATTTGCGTGGTTTTGTGCCACTCTCGGGCCAGGCCAAAGTCGGTGATCTTCAGGGTCTTGTGCTCCATGTCGTCACCCTCAATGGGCTGCAGCAGCAAAACTAGGGAAGAAGAGGCACAGGATTGTGCAGGCATCAGGACCAGGTGGTGGGATGGGAAAGAGGTGGGAGCAAACTGTCATCTGACAGACATCCTGGCTGGGCACTAGGGGCACAGAGGGGACTCCATCTAGATCTTGTCCTGGAGAGCTCACAGCTGGAGGTGGGGTGGAATCAGACAAAATAACAACGCTGGGACACATTTTTTTTTTTTAAGTTGGAGTCTCACCGTCGCCCAGGCTGGAGTACAGTGGTGCTCACAGCCACCATAGCCTTAACCTGCTGGGCTCAGGTGATCCTTCCACTTCAGCCTTCCAAGTAGCTGGAACTACAGGCATGCGCTACCATGCCCGGCTAATTTTTTTGATTTATTATAGAAACGAGGTCTCACCAGGTTGCCCAGGCTGGTCTCAAACTCCTGGGCTCAGGCAGTCTTGTCGCCCCAGTCTCCCAAAGTGTTGGGATTACAGGCTTGAGCCACCACACCCAGCTGCTGGGACACATTTACCGACACTTCATACTCAGCCCTAGCACTCAAAAATAACCCATGAGGTAGATAATATTCCCATTTCACAGATGAGGAAACTGAGCAGGGAAATGCCTTGGCCAAGGTCACACAGCAAATAAAGCAGAGATTCCAACCTGGTCTGTGTGACTCCCAAGCCAGTGTTCTCACTTTCCCCTGACACTACACTGAATAAAGCCTGGCAATGTGTCAGGCTCTCAGCATTTGTAGCTTTAAAAAAAATTTTATGTCAGTCTTGTCACCCAGCTGGAGGGCAGTGGCATGCTGCTCACAGCCACTGCAGCCCTGACCTGGGCTCAGGCAATCCTTCCACCTCAGTCTTCCAAGTAGCTGGAACCGCAGGCGCGTGTCACCATGCCTGACTAATTTTTCGATTTATTGTAAAGACAGGTCTCGCCATGTTGCTCAGGCTGGTTTCGAACTCCTGAGCTCAGACAGTCCTCTTGCCTCTGCCTCCAAAGTGCTGGGATCACAGGCGTGAGCCACCGCGCCTGGCAACATTTGTAGCCTTAAGAGAAACTTGTGCCTTGTCGTTTTGTTGAGGCAGGAGTGTCCATAGAGCCCCCTTGGGTGGGGAGCAGGAGGGATGCTTTTGGTGAGAAAGGAAACCCAGCAGATGCCACGGGCCCCTGGGGCCCACATCACATTGTGGCTAGTGCAGCCCCTCCCAAGGGAATGACTCCAAAAGATAACGCCTGATGGAGCGGAAGGGGAGAGAAAGGGTGGGGTCTGAGAAAGTGATGGTTCTTGGCCACAAAGGCGGAGCTTGGGGCAAATGTAGGCATGGGCAGTCAGACTTGGCAGGGACTCATGGCTTTGACCCAAATGGGGCCACCATGCTCTTGAGAGGAGAAGCAGCAACTTGTAGATCTCTTGCCAGACAAGGGACAAAGTCAGGGCATGAAGGGCCCCTCTGCTTTTCTGCTCATAACCGACCGTATTGTAAAGTGACATCCAAGCCAACTATGCTTCTGAACATGTGTCAGGGCACACCCTCAGCTCTCCTCCCCAGGGCGACAGGGCTGTCATGGTGACTGCACAGGGACAGAGGGGACAGGCACCTGACCCAGCCTGGCGAGTCTGCAAGGACTTCTCTGAGGAGGAGGTAGCAGACCAGGGTGCTCACTTTGCAGGGCCTAAAGCCACAACCTGCGATCCCGCTGCTGGCCAAGCCTCTGGGCCTCAAGAGGCATCTGGCACTGCTGCCCAACCCCTCCCTGCCATCCTTGGCCCTTGAAGCCTCTGGCTGTTTGGCTCTGTTTCTGCTACAACCTCCCCCACCCTTGGCCATTTAGGGGCTGGGGCTTCTTAGAGCCTGGCCTCCCCTCAACCCCTGACCACAGCCCCTGCCATCTGATCCCCTTCCAGATGCCTCACTGGCATCTTCTACATTTGCAATTCTAGGCCAGACAGGAGTCGATCCGGCCGCCCATTGCTCTCATGACCATCTCTATTCCCACAGTTCCTTCTAATTCAGAAGGATGGTTCTGGAAATCCACCCATTTTCGTAAGCCAGACTGCGACCGAGTCTTTAGCCATTCACAAAGCTGAGGATGACAACACCCACCTCAGAGGGCTGTCATGCGTATTAAACAAAGTCACACTTCTAAAGCCTTCGCGCAGGGGCTGCATCTCGCGGGAGCATTCTAAATGTCAGCTGTCCTAGACTCCACCACTTGCTCTTCCCTCCCCATCCTCTGTCACTCTTTTTTCTTTTTTGGGTTGGAGTCTCACTCTGTCACCCAGACTGGAGTGCAATGGCACGCTCTTGGCCACCGCAGCCTCGACCTGCTAGGCTCCAGCAATTCTTCCACCTCAGCCTTCCAAGTAGCTAGAACTATAGGCGCGCACTACCACACCCGGCAATTTTTTTGATTGATTGCAGAGACGAGGTCTCGCCAAGTTGCCTGGGTGAGTCTCAAACCCATGGGCTCAGGCAGTCCACTCACCTCGGCCTCCCAAAGTGCTGGGATGACAGGCTGAGCCACTGAGCCTGGCCCTCTGTCACTCTTTACTTCCAGCTCCACCATGGCCTCTGGCCTGGCTGCTGGAGGCTCGGAGTCTGTCAAGTAAACCCGATGCAACGAGCTCATTCCAAAGGGGAACCACAACTGGCTGGGGACAAGCGGGTGGACTGGGAGCCAGCACCCTCCCCTGCTGCCAGGGCCCACCTCCCCTCTTGAAGGCCAACCCTTTCTGCTTCCTGGCCCAGTCTCTCGGCCCTTGGGGAACCCCCAGACAGCCAAGGACTGACTACCAGTGTCTCAGGTTGGGGAGATCTGAGGCCCAGTGAGCAGCTCGCTCCATGTTTCAGGATTTCTTGGTACTTGGGGCCTGCCACTGCCCTGCCCTCAACTCTGACACCGCTAAGCCTCATCCCCATATCTGTATCCTGCGATTTTCTTCCAAGCTGCTTTGCTGCCTGCCTGTGCCTTGAACTGTCCCAACCCAAGGTGCCATCCTGGCGTCTGTTGCAGGCCTCAGGAGGTCAGGGGTCACCCGGAGGAGGAGGAGCTAGAGATCCCAAGACTGGGGCAAGCTTTTTTTCAGTTCCTCGCTGCCCCAGGGCTCAGCCCCCTCTCTGGGCTGGCCTCTGTGGGGCTTGGGAGTGGCCCGGGCAGCTCACACCTCTTCCGCTTTCCTCCCTGGTCCCCACTTCTCCTTTCTGGGAGGCCTGGGCCAGGTCTCCAGCTGGGGAGGGGGATCCTTTGGGGAGGAATTGGGGGAGGTCAGGCCCAGGCCAGGCTGGCTGGTCAGTCCTGTGACTCGTGGGCCTGGAGAATTCCCCCTCCTCTCCCTGCCAGGCTTCCTCACAAGGCCCCCATTGTCCAGGAAAATCACGCCATTGTTTCCTGCCTGTGCCCCCCCAGCCCAGGGACTCCCCCCACCCCAAGACCGCAGACAGCAACTTGGGCCTAGGACTGGGGTCTGGGAGTTTGGACGCCAGGCTCAGTGTGGCTGAAGGCACTTTGCCTGCCCTTCCGCACCACCACCTAGACTGAGAGCAAAGCAGGGAACTGGAGAGAGCTGGGGGTGGGGGGCAATCCCTAGCTCCTTCCTCTCCTGCAACCCCTCCACCACCGCCCTTTCCTCCCCTGCAGGCAGCTGGGCTAGGGAGGGAACAGGGGCTGGAGCGGGGCAGGAAGCCAGCTCAGGGGCAGCAGGAAACACAGGAAGCGGTGGGGAGGGTGGGGAGCAGGGGTCCGGGCTATTGTTCCATTTTTTCTGGAAAGAAAACGGAGGAAAAACAGAAGACTGGAGTCCCCTCCCCCTGGGCCTTCGGGGAATCCCCTTCAGGCTGCAGCAGAGAGTGGGGGTCCCTAGAAGGCTAGGGTCCAGGGATGAGGCTCAGCGTAGGAGAGAGTGGGTGTCCCAACTACGGAAGAGTGGGTGGGGTGGCTGGCATGCCTCCCCTGCCACCCCCAGCCCTGGCAAGGACTTGGATGTCATTGGGTCCTGGCGCTCTCTTCCCTGAAAGCCCCTTGTCTGAGGCCAGCCCGGGCCAGAAGGCTCAAAATAGCCACGCTGAACCCCCCCAAGAAGCCTCCAGGCCGCTCCAGTGACCCCGCTGAGCCTGGCCCCCTCCTGCATTTCCTGGCCCCCCGCCTCTCCAGCCTGGGCTCCAGCAGGGCCCGGCCCCTGGTGACCCCCGCATTGTGTCCTGCCTCCAGGCCTTTGCTCTCTAAACGCCGCCTGCATCAGGAAGCCCTCAAAACCAGTCACCGGCTTCTCTTGGGCCCATGATGACCACTGTCCTTTGGCCCAGTGTTTCCACCCTGGTGCCGAACCCAGGCTAGGCCCTCTTGGCAACCCAGGCCTCAAATGCCCACACCACGGCTGAGGACTTGTGTGCTGGGCATCTCACGCTGGGCCAGCCCAGGCCCTTGAGCCGTTTTGCCCGCCCATTTTACGGAGTCTAAACAGAGGCTCTGAGTCAAAATCACCAACTAGAGATCATGCAGCCGGGGAGGGGTGGGGCCGAGTAGCCTGTCCTTAGCCTTGACTGCCTAGGGGGGCTTTCCCCTCTGAGATGTCTGTCCTGGAGGAGCTGCCCGCTATGAGGAAAGGGGTGGGGGAGTACAGAGCACCAACACCACGAATGGCAACCTCAGGGGAGGAGAAGAGGCACGCCAGCATCCTGGGGACTTCCTTGAGGTGGCAGCCACGGTTGGGCAGGATGCCTCTGGCCTCCCTGAGAGATCACAATTTCTTAACTTGCCCACACTGCAGCTGCAGCCTGGGATCTAGGACCGCTTCTGGGGCTGGGGCCGGAGGACTCTGCCGGGTGTCTGGGACCCCTGGTTCGGGGCTATTGCAAGTCCAAGGGCACTCCCAGTCAACTGGGAGACTCCCCGGAGGCAGGAGCACCTGCCAGCAACAGATCCCCACGGCCGGGCTCAGCTGGGGATCGGAAGCAGGTGTGCGCCTGGGTCCCGCCACCCCCAACCCTGCCCCCCCAGAACTCACTGTTGTTGGACTTGAGGTCGCGGTGGATGACCGGCACCAGGGCTTCACAGTGCAGGTAGTGCATCCCACGGGCAATCTGCACCGCCCAGTTGACCAGCACGTGGGGGGGAACGCGGCGCCCGGCCAGGGCCCGGCTGAGGGGCCCTCCGGCCGCATACTCCATCACCAGGCACAGGTTGGGTTCCTCCAGGCACACGGCCTTGAGGGCAATGATGTTGGGGTGCGCCAGCATGGCAAAGAGCCGGGCCTCCTGGCGAACGCTCTCGGCTGTCACGCTGATGTCCTCATCGGGGTCCTGGCGGGCCGCCTTCACAGCCACCAGCTCGCCACGCCAGCTGCCACGGTACACCTTGCCGAAGCCGCCTATGCCGATCACCTCCTCCAGACGCAACTCCTGGAAGCTGGCCACCTCGCAGCGAGGCGGGCCGCCGCCCCGAGACACGTAGTTGGACGGGAAGATGCCCACCTGGCCCCCCACCTGGCCCGCCCACCAGCCCTCATCTCCTGAGATGGCTGCGTCCCGGGACAGCACTTCCACGCGGTCACCCTTCCGCAGGGCCAGCTCGTCTTTCCCATTGGGCTCGTAGTCGAACAGGGCAGTCCACACCGGGTTGGCATAAGCCGCTGCCTTCGGAGACCCCTCGGGCCGGCCTCCGCCGCCACCCCCGCTGCCCCCACTGCCGCTGCCATTCCACGACCCCAGCGGGCTCTTGAGGAAGAAGTTCTTCAAGGGCTCCATGGCCGGGAGCCGGCGTCGGGACGTCTGGAGGACCCTCTCCGGGTGCCCGAGGTCCCCACCCCCGCTGGCTGCCGAGGCCCTAGCCCCGGAACCCGGGCATCCGGGCCCTGGCCCTCAGCCCCAGACCCACGCCTCTCTGGGGAGCCAGGAGTGCCGCCTCCCGGCCCCCCGCATCTCGGGCTTCTGGGGGGGCGCCCCGGGCAGTGCGGTCAGGCCGGGGGGGCGGGCCCCCGGGGCCGCC